CTGCTGGAAGATTTCGGGAGTTGGGGATGGGGGACAAATTCTAGGAGGCAGTCCTCTTAAAATCTGCCGGTGTCTGCCAACAGTGCCTGCACGCACAGGCCACTGGGCAGGTTTTGGCCTCGGCCTGGGGTGTAGAGGGCTACTGGCCGCCTATGGATCTTCCCTGTCACAGCTGAGCAGAGCAGCCACACATCACTGTCAGCCACGTTCTCTGAATGTGGAGGATGACAGTCTGGGTGCACATCTTTGGACTGCTGGGAGCATGAGAAAGAGAAGACTGAGGTGTTGATGGAATGCACTTGACCGCACAGCAGGGACAACAGTTATTCTAGCTGCAGCGACCCCCTAAGGGACCTGGAGCAAGTCGCTGCCCCCGTTTGCATCAGGTTTCCTCCCCTGCAAAGGGGGGACTGCGATCCTGAGGGAGGATGTGAGGACGAGCTCAGTTGGCACTGAGATCAGGGTGGGGGGCCCGTTCCCATCCGAGCCCTCTCCTGCCCTCCCAACCCTGGCACCTTCCACATGTGTGCATCTGTATGAGCGCCAGGGAACAAGGAAGGGGGTGGGCAGCTCTGCCAAAGATGCCACGGTGAGGAAAAGGGGAAAAGCAAGCAGGAAGCTGGGACGCCTCTGGACTAGACAGGTGGCACATGCACACTCTCAGGACGACACAGGTGAAGGGCTAGAATATACTTCAGAATGAGTCAGATACATCTAGTGTATCAACACTGATCCAGTTAGCCACTCGATGTAGCACTCACATACCTTGCACCTATGCAACACACCTTGCAAAGCAGGCTTCTGGAATATACTAAAGTTTCCGTGTGGTTAGAATACACGTTTGCTTGGCTTGAGACAATGACTACTGGATCTCTGGAAAGGTTGCCTTTACTTCTACATTTCCTTTTGAATCTAGATTCATTGGGAATCCGAAGGTTAACCTGCAAAACCAACCTAAACAATCCATCCAGACCCAGCTTCTGAAACCATGAATGAAACAGTCATTATTTTTCTTGGGAATCTAAGGAAGAAGTGACAGAAGACACCAGGAACACAGGTTCTTTAACCCCCACACCTCAACAAAGAAAGAGCCCTGTTTTCAATGCAATAAAAAAAAATCTCATAATTCCATGCTTCATTAAGGATTGGGAAAATTTACGGTGCAAAGGATATGGCTAACATAACGTGATAGCTACTACATGTGTCAACTTGGCTAGATGACAGTACCCTGATACTTCATGAAACATTATTCTCGCTGTTGCTAGGGGGATATTTTTGAAATGAAACTTAAAGTCGAATGAGTAAAGCAGATGACCCTTCATAATGTGGGTGCGCCTCATCCAATCAGTTGAAGGCCATAAGTGGAAAACATTGACTTTCTCAGAGGAAGAGTTTGTCCAGGAGGCAGCTACAGACCCAAACTCCAAATCTTCCAGCCTGCTGGCCCACCCTGCAGATTCTGAACTTGCCAAGCCTCCACAACCACACGAGAAAACTCCTCCAGAACTCCCTCTGTATATAAACACCAGATGCATTCTCTTCTCTGGAGAACCGTCTCTCTCTCTCTCTCTCTCTCTCTCACACACACACACACACACACTGTTGTTCACCAATATTTCTACTTTTGTCTCCTTGTGGGATATGAAAGAATTACACCTTCCTGAACACCTGGCCACCAAACTTGCTCTAGCTTATAAAATGGAGTGGACGTGACTGGGGTCACTGCAAAGCAAAAGCATTTGGGAGGGATTCCTGATCCCCTCGCCATGCAGCAGCAAGCCCGGAGTGCTGAGTGGAGAAGGTGAGAGTATGAGGTGCTGTGCTAGGTCCCCAGCCAGGCCCCCAGTGGCCATAATGAGCACAGTCCCACCGGCTGGCCCCTGTGGATGCAGAGCCCAAGTGAGCACTCGTTGCGCACCACTGAGTTGTGGGGTTGTCCGTGACCCATGCACTACTTGGGGTGGAAGGGAAGACAGAACAAGCTGTCCTGTGGTCTAGCCACACTCACTCAACTGGACTACACTATAACGTTTTAGTTTTCATCACTGCTATAAATTCAATGGGACTTCCATTTGATAACAACACTGGAGAGTGATTTGGAATACTGTACACACCTCTCCTTTACTCCAAATTATTGGCATAATCGTTTGTGGAATCCACCATGGATTTTAATTTTTTTTGCACCAAAATAAACTTTTTAAATTCCATTTTTCCCCAAATGTTTGAAGTCCCCTCTTGCAGTCTCATCCCTGCTCTAAGTGGACTCCTATAGTGAGCCAAAGCCGGTCGGGCAGCCAGACACCCACAGTGGCCTGCCAAGCACTGGTCCAGACAGGCAGCCTCTGGCAGAATTCAAGTAGGGCTGGGTATGCAGATCCAAGAGGTCACGACTCAGCCTGCAACTCTGAGGGCAGTCTAGCTCCACCCTGATTAGGCGACCTCAGCAGAGGCAGAGAGAGGTGAGCTACTGGGCAGCCTCCTCCAACACGAGCCGGGGGGGACAATAAAACTGCTTTTGTCTTCCTTTCACCAGTGATTTCTTTTCATGGAGCATAACATAATGGTTAGTGCAGTCTGGCTATGGGGAAGAGCAAGGCCACAGCCTGGGCTGGGCCTCGCCTCTGAATGCAAGAGCCAGCCAATTCCCTGAGGAGCATTTGCTCTGAGGACATAGGTCAGGGCAACAATAGGTGTGCGTAACCCACTGAAAGAACAGACGGGACCTTCTGCCCAGACTGCTGGACTGAGGTCACCCATGATTATCAGACGGTTTCCCCCGAGAGGTGCTCCTATTTACAGACTATTGTAGCCTCCAGGGTGATAGCCCTTCCCCACCAGGCCATGCTGCCACGTTTTAGGCCTTAAAGAGATCCCTTAAGCATTTGTTGCTATTTGTCACATAATTAAGCACTCCTAGCAGCCATTCCATATTGCCTTGAACAAAAAACTCGAGACATAAACCATCTCTCACTAACATTCCCTTCCTGGATGCTGAGATGAGAACATGGAAATAGTACCACATGCCTGCCATCTGTATTTGTACTTGTCAACAGCTCTGTTTGCGGATAAACAGTTTTGAAGTAAGAATCAATTCAACTTGTTGGAACATTAGCCAAGGAATAGCTCAAAGACCAAAACAGAATGTGAAGTCAGATAGTCTAAAAATCAAGCACACATTTGTTTCTCCTTCAACATTCTGTTTTGTCACAGCCCAAGAGAAAGAGTGGGGCAGCCAGGGATTGCAGGGCACAGAGACAGAAGAATGTATTTACTCAAGTGAGAAACTCTTCCACCTAGAACAGGCATCTTTGTGACAACGCAATTTTGGAAATAATTCACTGACCTCTAGGAGACTACAATGGAGGAAAAAGTAATTTTAGCATTTACACTGTTTCACAGCTCCACCATGCGAAGGGCATACACGAGGGACAACTTACATGGGTCCAAGTGCATAATACACTCCTTTATTACCATAAAAATGGTAGCACTTCCCAATGTCGATCTTGATTAGAAATAGTTCCATGGTTGAAAACACTAGTCTGCCATACAGCTATTAAACTAGAGAGATGGCAAGGGGAAAATAAAGACTTATACATGGAAGGGGTCAGGGAGGAAGTTAGCAAAAATAGGATGCTACAGATTGGCGGGAGATAACCATGGCGTTGCTTTCAGAGATGACTGGTCTAAGTGAATGAAGGGACGCGGTAACCTGGCAGCCCTACATAGTCTACAAAACAAATGAGAACATGTACGCTCCACCGGGAGGACATCCATTTTCTCCTTAAAAGAAGTCATTTATAAAAGAGCAAATTGGCGATTTGTATTTACAGACTGGGCCCTTTTCAAGCCCGTCAAGAAGTGATAAATTATTGAAGCATAGCATAGCGTGTTTTATTTTCTGTGAGCACACAGCAAAACCTTGTGAAATGTTTCTATTCACCTTTCCCGAGTTATTAATTAAAAAGAATTGTTTCCCATTACTCTCTGCACTTCAAAATGAAAGCAGGACGGAAACGCCACCTCCACCTCTCCAGCAACTGAAAATAAAGCCCCTTCCCTGTCTGCTTCCCAATCCTGCCCCACAGTCTCCAACCAGGGCATTGTTTCACATCCCACTCAGGAATTGTTTGGCCTGGGGAGGGGGGAGGGAGGAGGAAGGAGGAAGGCCACAGGACGTTTACACAATTGTCTGGTGTTCATTCAGCCACAGTGCCCAGAGCTATTTGTCGTTCCTACAGCCAGCATAGAACTGTTCAGAGGATAAAGCAGTGCTGCGGGGAGCTCCTTAATAAACTGTGAGAACCCTCTCAGTAGCAGCCACATAACCCAGAGGGGCTGCCTTGCACCCAGCACCATGAAAGCCCGGTGCTGGGCTCCGGGACATCGTTACTCTCCAAAACAGATCCGACCGGAGTGAAGGGCTTCCCCGAGCCACTGGCTAAGCAGAGTGAAGCGAAATTCCTTCGCTGCCACAGCTTAGCAACTGGAACCCGGGGAGGTTTAGAAACTCGAGGCTGTGCTTGAAGCTGAATGCCAGCCAGTGGTGTGCGGGAACGGCTCCTCCTCGAACTGCGTTCGTCCACGAGGGAGGGATGCTGATGCCACTGGTGCTCCTAAGAGGGAGAGGAGGGAAGCTAAAGGGCTCACTGCCAGGGGCAGCTGCAGGGGCCCTGGCGCCCGGAAGGCTTTCTCCTAACTGCACACTGTAGAATCTGCCCAGCTCTGTTCGGATCCCCGCTTCTTTGGCAGTAATGCCACTGTTCCATGGCTGATGGGTGCTGTTTTCTAAGAGGTGACAGAATCAAGAGCTGAACTGCTGATGTCACGGCCCCTTTTTCATGGCCTCCCAATTCTCCTCCAAGTTTTGGGTGGCAAATAGAAGAGGATCGGATAAAGGGGAGTGGGCACTGCTCACGCACCCCATGCATTTCCGTCAGCTGAACAGCACAGCAGATCAGTGAAATGAGGCTGCTTGAAACTGAAAGAATCACAAGGGGAGAAACAGGTTTGTCTTTTTTTTTATTCTTTTAGCATTTTGGATACTGAAATGGAGGTAAAAGAAACTGCCTATTGCAAAGAACTCTTTACAATTAAATTCACAATGTTATACATTCAACTTACTCCCATGTCAGTGAAAAATCACCGACTATTATGAAAGCAGAACAAATGATATCACCAAAGAACCAAACAACAGAACAGACAACTTCATAAAATATACACGTCCCGCTACGCAAAGGACTTCTCTCCAGGGTCTTCACATTCGCCTCTTCTGTGTACTGATGTACAACACTGGAAAAAAACAAAAACCAAAACAACTGAAAATACAGTCTGCTCTTCAGGATCATGGTAGTAAGTTTTAAAAGCAAGTGGATTTTGCCTGACACATCTGCAAACTTAAAAGGACTTTCCAAGCATATAACCAACCAACTCTAGAACCACTGTGAGACAAGTTCTATGACTGTAGACCCACATGTGGTGTCTTCTAACACTGTGTCCTAATCTTATCTATGCATCAGACTGAGTTTGCAAACTGATCAAGGAAATAAAATAAAATATACCTGAGAGTCCCTGGAACGCTTCTCAATGAGAAGTACCATAACTGCACTTTGAGGGACATAAATCAATCTCCCAGGCCTGATTTCAGATGAATAATCATTAGTGTATTTGTATCCATCTCCCAGTACAAATGCTAAACCTGCTTATTTACCTTTTTAATTGAAACTGGATAAACAAGAATTGAGTTTTTGTTTTGTTTTGTTTTGTTTTTTTTAAAGACCCCGAAGTTCTTCCTCTGGGTTTCCTGCTAGACTTTGAATGTTTGGTGCTATCCAAACTGTAGTCTGTGGCATATAGGGTACGTGAGAGTATGACAAAAATGAATAAAATGACCGGGTCACTCCGGTCAAGTTTTCACCCCAGGTGTGCCTCCCCACCCTTCCCCACGCCTGCTCAGAGGCATACAGGTTTGTTCACAGAACACAGCACAGGTTCATCAAGTCAGTCAGAATCCTCCTGAAGAGCCAGAGAGGGAGACTTGGGAGGCCAAAGGTAGCTGTCACTGACTACATCATGGGGATTCTAGAAAGGGAAGCATCAGCGTGTCAGCCCAAACAGCTTTGGGGGAGCTGAGCAGGCCCTCCACAGGTGAAAGGACCCGCCCCTCACTGTCACAGCACCTGCCCTCGTCCGCTGCCTCACCTCTGATCAGCTGTCAGAGGAGGCAAGACCACACCACCTCCCAGGAAAAGGAGGAAATCAAATTAAGAACAGTATGGAAAAGAGGAGAAGAAATGCTACACGCTGGAGTACTAAGAAGCAATCAAAACACACATATATTATGCTCGGAAGAAATACGGTGCTATGAAAACAGAGGACAGAATATCCCTTATGAAAGTCAGAATGTTTACTTCACAGCAAAGGGAACCGGCTGTTGGGTGGACTGAAGAACTCCTTAGCCAGAAGTAAAGAAATCAACAGAAAAGCTGAACTCAAGAATCCCAGAGTTCTACTCAGGGGGTCAAAAAGTGGGGTTCAGTCTAGGAATAATTCTCATAATTCTGGTGCTTTCCCTTCCTGTCCCAGATCCACATATGACTTGACTGGTAATCTATGTCTGAATCAAAGTATTTAAAACTATCTGCAGCAGTTATAGCAAAACACTCGCTGTTAAAAAGCTGAGTAATGTCAGGACCATATTTCCTACTGTGCCATTTTTGCCAAACTAAAGGGTACAAGCCTCCACAAAATGCATCTCAGCATTTACTACAGAAAGGACTTCTGGACTGGCCAAGCTCCAAATTACACAACAGCTCCAACCTCAGACTGCGAGAGGTGAGGTTATGTGGTGGGAGAATACAATACACCAGATTCAGGAGGGCAGGGGTGGGTGAGAACCCTTGGAAAGGGAGGGAAGGAAAGAATTTCTAGTTCCGTAACTCCAAGGAGCTACAAACAAAGCACCGGTCACACAGAGGAGCTGAGCTCCAAACATTTAAAAATAAAACTAAAGCCAACTTTAAGACGATCTAGAAGATGCTCGGGTGGTGCTGACTGTAAGTGTGTTTGGGTGGTGTAGAGGCGCACGATGCAGAAACGTTACCGTTGTTTCCTCGGATGAATGCGTCCCCGTACTTATTCTTCAGCTGTCCATTTACATACTCTTCTGTCTGCTCCAGAGCGATGTTCATGTAGCCGTCCAGGCAGGCCAGGACCCCTGGAGTTACAGGCACAGTCAAGAAGGGGACATTCAAAGCATGCATGGTTGTCAACCACAGGGCACACCTTAGAGCTGCCAGTCTCCTGACTCATGAGCTCTTAGGTGCTCAATATAAAAACCCACAGTGAAATGAAACTCACTAGACTTACACACAACACGAGTCTTTACCCTCTGCCGATCTGAATGAAAGCGAGAGAGCACATAAGAAAGAGTCAGGCACCGGCTACTACCGGGAAAACAGTGAACCGTCCCTTCCCTAGTGGGATGTAGGATCACACACAGCAACTCTGGAAGCCTTCACCAAAGTAACCGAGTAAGAATATTCCAAGTAAAATCCTGTTCTTTGAAGGCGAACGACAGGAGTGGGCAATTATGCACGAACAAATGATCCTTGGTCCCTGTGGCATTTCTTACTTTAGCCGCTAAGTGAAATAGGGTCTGGCAGATTTATTTCATTCTTTCACAACATCTACGGCAGCAGATGAATGAACTCCAGGGTTAAGAGGAAGTCTCCACAATCTGTTAAAATAATAGAAGAGGAGACAGCAGGTGCTCCTGCAAGAACATCTTAAAGCTGTGACTCACGGAGGAGAGCAGCTTGAGAATACAGGGCAGCATATTGCATTCTAACACATCCCATTCTGTTTTGTTACAGTTACAATAATTTCAAATCAAAACTAATGGACGAAAGGGGCTAAAAACATTCTAGGGAGCTTTCAAAGAAACAGTTTGAGCAAATCTTTTTAATTGTGTTAAGATGGTGTAAATTCTGCAAACTGTGACCTGAAGATTTTTTTTTAAAGACAAAAATCTGCAAGCCTCACTATCCAAAGTGGTATTTTTCTAGAAAAAAAAAAAAAGAAAAATTAAATAAAAGCAAGCACAGATTTGATTCGATTAGCCGAGTCAATCGTTTCATTTAGTCTTAACTTCATTTATATGCTCCACACTCTCTGCCTATGCCCCCATTATCCTCTAAACAAAAAAGGGTCTTTTCAAAATTGTGTGTGTGGAACGAGAGCACAAGACATTAATCTAACAGAATTCTGCTGGAAGCTATAAACTTTCAAAGAACCAGCATGCATTGTGAGCAGTTCGTAACAACTATTTCTTAGCAAAAAAAGGCTTAAGACACAACTTTACAGTTTGTTTCCTGTTGTATTCTTTTATATCTAAACCACAATCAGAAATGAGCAAGAAACCTTTAAGATGTGATATGCAAATGCCTAAAGATTAATAAAGCAAAATAGACTAATGAAAATGTCTATTGTTATAACAAAGGTTAAAGCAAACCAACGTGTCAGGGTTAGAATTATAACCTTCTCCCTTCTTGTGGAGATCTACTATATTTTATAGAAAACAAGAGGTTTTCTTCAAACTTGAAAAGAAACCACTACAGAGAACTGCTGGTTTTTAAAAAATTATTTAACCACAAAATAAGCACATTATTTTAGTAAAGCTCTCTACTAATGTAAAATATTTGCTGTAGTCATCTAGGGACCATAAGCAGACATTTGTATACACAGAAAAATTAAGATTACTACCCACGGGAAAGGTGGCTCAATCTCCTCAGTAAACAAAGAAAATATAAAACAAATAGGATATTTAGTGCTTGTTGCCAATTAGATTGGAAAAGATGAGCAAGAGCTTATCCAAGGGTGATGAGGGTTCGCTAAGGACACACCTGTGCCCTGGTAGAGGGCCATTTGGCCTGCTCAGTGGCTCAGGCCTAGCCCAGGGAATTCACTCTAATGAGATCCTTGGACAAGTAAGTGTTCAAGATAGATGTGAAAAAACAGTTGTTTATCATAACCAAAAATTGGTAAAGACCTAAATGTCCACTAAAAGGAAATCAGTTAAAAACAACAACTATAAACTACTGCTTAGCCACACACACAGGGATTCTAATGCAGTCATTAAAAATCTCAACATTGTCATAGTACTAAACATGTTGTTTATTGTTAAAAAAAAAAAAAAGGTTACATGTATGGCTGACTACGTTTAGCTGACTACATTTAGATAAAATTGTGCTTATTTGGGTTACTTCAAAAAGTTTGTTGAAGAATGAAATTAAGAGTATGAGTTTATTTCGTTGTGAAAATTTTTTCACAGTATGTGGAAAACGCATATTATGAAAAATCTACACACAGATTTCAAATTTTTCTACAACAAAATAAACTCACACTTTTTTTCTCTATTGTTTGCTTTTAAATTTCTAAAAGTAAAACAAAACTAAAAGATGTATTACCTTTATATAAAGAACATTTCCCTTAAAGAATTCAGACCAAAATAAGGGCATGCTGATTGAGCTCCTCAGTAAAGTAGGTACTAGGGCCATGCTGTGGTAAGCAGATTAAACTGCAGCCATGTGGGTGCAGGTTCCACTCCCAGCTGCTCCACAGCGCACCTGGGAAAACAGTGGAAGATGGCCCAAATCCCTGGGCCCCTGTGGGAAAACTGGATGAAGCTCCTGGCTTTAGTCTGGTGCAACCCTGGCCATTGTGGCCATTTGGGGGGTGAACCAGCAGATGGAAGATCTCTCTTTCTCTCTCTCCCTCTCCCTCTCTGTGTAACTCTGCCTTTCAAATAAATAAACTTAAAAAAATAAAGTAGGTACTGAGAACATAATGAACAGAGCATCCCACCCTAATTAGTTGTGAAATAGTCTCAAGTCCCAGAAGTCTGTTATCTCTTCTAGGCTCCTCAAAGTTCACGGGTGAGAGACAATGCAGAGTTCATCTCAGAATTCGGTATAAATACACTAGACACTAGTTTCGTTGTCAAAATCAAAATAAACTGGAGACATGTGATTAAAAGAAACTAAAGGAGTCCATAAAAACAGTCCAGTGGTTTCTTAAGCCTGGGTTTGAGTCCTAGCACACCACTTCCTAGGCGAGGCTAATTAACAAAGGCCTTATGGGATTTATTGAAGACACAATTGTTACAGTAATTAAAACATACTCATCATGTAGTAAGCCCTCAGTAAAATTAAATCGTTATACATGGAAAAAGTAAAAAGCTCAAAAGACTACTGTCATTATTGTTTAGAAAAGAGGCCAACAAAAAACCCAGTAACTCTGCCAGTAAGTAAGTTATCCTTACTTGTGATATATTCCAGGTAATTTAGTATCTTAATTTTGAAGATTCAGGAATTTAGTAATTTAAAAAGCAGAATTTGGGGGTCGGTGCTGTAGTGTAGTGGATCAAGTCCTGGCTGCTCCACTTCTGATCCAGGTATCTGCCAAGGCCTAGGAAAGCAGAAGATGGCCCAAGTACCTGGGCCCCTACACCAGCGTGGGAGACCTGGAGGAAACTCCTGGCTCCTGGCTTCGGATCAGCCCAGCTCTAGCTGTTGTAGCCATCTGAGGAGTGAACCAGCAGATGGAAGACTTCTGTCTGTCCCTCTCTGCCTCTGCCTCTCTGTAACTCTGCCTTTCAAATAAATATAAATCTTAAAATAAAAAAAAATTAAAAAACCAGAATTTGGGGGCAGGCATTCAGCCTAGAGATTAAAAGGCTTCTATCCCATAGTGGAGTACCTGAGTTCAAGTCCCAGCTCCAGCTACTGACTCCAGCTGCCTGCTAACGCTCACCCTGGAAGGCTGTAGGTGATAGTTCAAGTAGCTGAGTTCCTGCCAACCCCACGGGAGACCCGGATTGAGTTCCCAGCTCCTGGCTTTGTCCTGGCCCAGCCCCGCTTATCGTGGACATTTGGGGAGTGAACCAGTGCATGTGAGCTCTGTCTCTCATACACACAAAAAATTTTTATGTGTAATTTTTTTTAAGATTTATTTATTCGAAAGGCAGAGTGACAGAACAAGAGATCCTCCATACATTGATTCACTCGGCTGCAATAGCTGAGACTGGTTCAGGCTAAAGTTAGGAACCTGGAACACTATCCAGGTCTCCCACGTGGGTGGCAGGGACCCAAGCACTTGTGCCATCTTCCACTGCCTTCCCAGGTGCCTTAGCAGGGAACTGGATCCTTCGGAAGTGGGGCAGCAGGGACTCAAACTGGTGCTCAGCTCAACCTGCTGTGCTACAATGCAGGTCGCTTACATGGAATTTGATGACTTTCCTTCCGTTAACTTCAGAAGCATCACGGCCTCTTTTTAAAAGAATATTCTCAGGCCGGCGCTGTGGTGTTGCGGGTTAAGCCACCGCCTGCAGTGCCGGCATCCCATATGGGCAATGGTTCAAGACCTGGCTGCTCTACTTCAGATCCAGCTCTCTGCTGTGGCCTGAGAAAGCAGTGGAGGATGGTCAAGTACTTGGGATCCTGCCCCCATGTGGGAGTCCCGGAGGAAGCTCCTGGCTTCGGAGCGGCACAGCTCTGGCTGTTGCAGCCAATTAGGGAGTAAACCAGCGGATGGAAGACCTCTCTCTCTGTTTCTTCTTCTCTCTCTGTGTAACTCTTTCAAATAAATCAATAAATCTTTATATATATATATATATATATATATATATATATATATATATAAAAGTATTTTCTACAGGAACAGAAGGGAGCCTTTGGCTACCACACATTATACTAACAGGAAGTTCATGTTGTAAAGTTATACATCTAAACAGCTGCCTGCCAATCTTGAATACTTAAGCAACAACCAATAATGCTACACCAAGGTTTTCTTCATAACCAATCATTCATGCCTGAGTTGAGTGGGCACTGCTGGCTACTCCCAGGGAACTCAGGGACACACGATCTCAGAGCTGGGACAGGAGACAGCATTACAAACTCTGCTACCACAATTGTCTCTCACGGTCCCTGGGCGCACAGCACTCGAGAAGCTACCTGAGATACATCCCATGCTGGAGTGCCTGGTTTGAGTCCTGGCTACCCTGCTTCCCTACCAGTGCACACTCGGGGACACAGGCAACATGTGACGGCCCAAATACCTGAGTCCCTGAGTCCCTGGGTCCCTGGGTCCCTGCCACCCACATAGGAAGACTCAGACTGCATTCTAGGCGCCCAGCTTCAGCTAGGCTCCTAACTGTTGCAGCATTTAGGGAGCAAACAAGCAGATAGATGACTTCTGTCTGTGTCTCTTTCTCTCATTCTTTCAAATAAAATTTGTTTTGGAAAAGGAAAAATCTCAGATGTAGAAAAAGAGCTAGGCATAAAAACTGTTGATGCCAGTACTTTTCTGGTCTACTGGGTATACTTAAGAGGTTAATAAAAATCAGTAAGCCACATTTACTTATTTAGTTATACCAGTTAGGATGAAACATGAAAATATTACCTCGATAATCCACTCCAGAATTTAATTTTACCACAACTGGTCGTCCGATGATTTGCTTTAAGAAGTCACTAGGGGTTTGCTTCCGCAGACTCATTTTAACAATCCTGATCAGAAATATGAAAGGGAGGAACAAGCGTTAAGACAAAAGCTAATTATTCAACAAAAACTCTTGAAGCCCTTAACACGGTTCTAGGAAATCAAGTATGAAAGCACCACGTTTGAAGACTCATTACTTCTCAACTAGTAACGCGACAGCTAAGTGTTTTCAGTACTAGCAGCCACTCAGGCAAGTGTTTCACAGCCATCATCTCCTTCAGTCCCAACAAACCCACTCATTAGAGTTGTTTACAGAGCACCGACTCTTGTCACTTGTCACTACGGTCTCACAGCCATTATGTTCTTCACAACACCCTTCCTCCACCCAGTGCTGAGACCTCCGCTAAGAGCCCTGTGAACACTACCAAAGTTACTGTTTACAGCAATCCTGGGGAGAATCGCTTAATATCTCCATTTTGCTGACGAAAATAAAGACATAAAAAGAGTAATTAATTTGCCTTTAAACTGTGATGAAACCAAAGTATACTGGAACCTTCAAACTCAAATCAGGCCTAGTGCAGGGGCCACACCAAGTAGGGTAGGTATATCCCGGAACAACTGATGCCTCAATGTAGCTCTGAACCTAACAACTGCAATCACACTTGAAAGCTGCTACTTGAGTACACCCTATGCCAGCACCTTCCCAAGCACATTCTATGTATTAATCCACTCAAACCACGCTGCCCCACGAGGTGGGGATCATTTTCCCCCTATTTTACAGATGAAGAACCAGACACAGGAAGTTAAACCTCTTGCTCAAGGTCAACCAGTCAGTAAGCAGCCAGCCAGCCCATGCTCTAAATCACAACCTTAAATGGTCTTCTGAAAGTCTCTGATGTACCCAAATATTCTGCATTACCTGATTACAATTATCACAAATATGTGCACTACAAATGAAAAAAGTCTCAAAATTCAAGTATGATAGGAGTCCGAAACAGACAGCATTACACACTCAAATTAGTCACATCAGACTTGCAAAGTTGTCCGTTACTCCCTCAACACTGTTATACAACAGCACCGTCTCTAAAATTCTTAGTAAGGAGTGGGCATGCGGCCCAGCAGTTAAGATGCACGTCAGGATGCCCGCATCCCTCGTCAGAGAGCCTGGGCTCAGTAGCTGCTCCAGCGCCTGATTCCAGCTTCTTGCTAATGCAATCCCTAGGAAGCAGCAGTGATGACTCAGGTGGCTGGGCTCCTGCCACCCACGTGGGAGACCTGGAGTGACTTCCTGGCTTCGGCCCTGTCTGATCCCTGCCATTGTGGGCATCTGAAGAGTCACCCAGGGATTGACGTAGTGGGTAAAGTCAAACGCTGGTTCGAGTCTCAGCTGCTCTACTTTTGATCCAGCTCCCTAATGGCCTAGGAAAAGCAGTAGAAGGTGGCCCAAGTGTTTGAGCTTCTGCCACCCACATGGGAAACCTGGATTGAAGCTCCTGGCTCCTGGCTCTGGCCTGGCCCAGCCTTGACAGTTGCAACCATTTGGGGAGTGAACCAGAAGATGAAGGATTTTTCTGTAACTCTTTTTTTTTTTTTTTTTAAGATTTATTTATTTATTTGAAAGGCAGAGTTACACAGAGAGAGAAGGAGAGGCAGAGAGAGAGAGAGAGAGAGAGAGAGGTCTTCCATCTGCTGGTTCACTCCCCAGATGGCCACATCGGCCAGAGCTTCGTCGACCCGAAGCCAGGAGCCAGGAGCTTCTTCCAGGCCTCCCACACTGGTGCAGGGCCCAAGGACTTGGGCCATCTTCTACTGCTTTCCCAGGCCATAGCAGAGAGCTGGATCGGAAGAGCAGCAGCCGGGACTAGAACCGGCGCCCATATGGGATGCCAGTGCTTAGGCCAGGGCTTTAACCCGCTGCGCCACAGTGCTGGCCCCTCTCTGTAACTCTTTCAAATAAGTAAATAGATCGTGAAAAATTTAAAAAAAAAAAAAAAAAAGTGACCCACTGATGTGTGCAGGGAGCTCACATTCTCTTTCTCTGCCTCTCAAATAAATTTTTAAAAGCTTATCCTTAAAAATAAATAATTTCATGAAATAAATGAACAAAATTGCAATTACTTAAGCAAACCTGAGTAAAAAAGACTTTGGAAGTTAATCTCCTGTTTCATTCAAGTTCAGAACTTATTTCATAATGATATGGCACTGAGACTTAAAAATTAATATGGACAACACTCTTCTATGGACTCTCTTGAAGAACCAACTTGGTTATTTTTTAATCAAAACGTTCACTAAACATTCTTCCATTGAACACAGCTGCTTACTGCTTTCCAAACACACCCACTCCATGACCTCCACTCGGGTTTAGGACCACTGTTTGCTGATGCTCTCACAGTGGATCTGTGCTAGGTAATGGGCTTTTCGTTTGTTCGACAAACATGCACATGCACACAGCGAACAAAGAAATTCGGAAATACTTCCTACACTGAAGCTCTGACTTTAAAGAACTCAGACTCTACATGGAAAATTTAAAGTCTTCTTTTTAAAAAAAAAAAAAAAAAAGGCCAGTGCCACGGCTCACTAGGCTAATCCTCCGCCTGCGGCGCCGGTACCCCAGGTTCTAGTCCCGGTCGGGGCACAGGATTCTGTCCCGGTTGCCCCTCTTCCAGGCCAGCTCTCTGCTGTGGCCCGGGAGGGCAGTGGAGGATGGCCCAAGTACTTGGGCCCTGCACCCGCATGGGAGACCAGGAGAAGCACCTGGCTCCTGGCTTCAGATCAGCGCGGTGCACTGTCCGCAGCGCACTGGCCGCAGCGGCCACTGGGGGGTGAACCAACAGAAAAGGAAGACCTTTCTCTCTGTCTCTCTCTCTCACTGTCCACTCTGCCTGTCAAAAAAAAAAAAAAAAAGTCTTCTTTAAAGGGCATGAAGGTCGGCACCGTGGCTCACTAGGCTAATCTTCCGCCTTGCAGCGCCGGCACACCGGGTTCTAGTCCCAGTCGGGGCACCGGATTCTGTCCCTATTGCCCCTCTTCCAGGCCAGCTCTGTGCTGTGGTCAGGGAATGCAGTGGAGGATGGCCAAGTACTTGGGCCCTGCACCCCATGGAAGACCAGGATAAGTACCTGGCTCCTGCCATCGGATCAGCGCGGTGTGCCGGCCAGCAAGCCGGCCGCAGCGGCCATTGGAGGGTGAACCAACGGCAAAAGGAAGACCTTTCTCTCTGTCTCTCTCTCTCACTGTCCACTCGGCCTGTCAAAAATAAATAAATAAATAAATAAATAAAGGGCATGAAGAAATAAAAGTGATCATAACTGAAGTACAATTTTTCTTTAACCAAGAAAAGTCAACATCCTAAGTTAAACAAAATAAAAAATACAGAAACTATCATTTGTACCATATGGCTTGGAAGATTCTTGTTTTTATTTTATTTTTTAAAAGATATATTTATTTGAAAGGCAGAGTTACAGAGAGGCAGAGGCAGAGAGAGAGAAAGGTCTTCCATCCATTGGTTTGTTCCCCAGATGGCTGCAATGGCTGGAGCTATGCTGATCTGAAACCAGGAGCCAGGAGCTTCTTCCAGGTCTCCCACATGGGTGCAGGGGCCCAAGGACTTGGGCCATCTTCCACTGCTTTCCCAGGCCATAGCAAGGAGCTGGATCGGAAGTGGAGCAGCCAGGACTCGAACCAGCACCTATATGGGATGCCGGCACTACAGGCAGTGGCCCCACCCGCTATGCCATAGGGCTAACCCTGAAAGATTTCTTTAAAACGTGACCAACTGATTATTTTGTTTTGCAAATTTTAATTTAATTTTTCCACTGAACTCGCACTTACTTTTTTAGCTACACAGTCTCAACAGATGTCTAAAATTATAACTATTATTCAGGACAACCACTAATAATCCGGGACTCGGTCCACATAGTAATTTTATTTATGCTGTTTTTAAGTAAAAAGAGAAAAATTACAAGGTAAATACTCCAACAGATTCGAATACCTTTAATGACTTTGGTAAAAACAAACCTCCCTGTTTGTCTATAAACTATCTTATTTTTGTCTCAAAGATGAGCTGTTTTGTGGTTAGATACTTCTACAGAACTATTAACTCTCCAGATCTGACAGAAACTCAACTCTTGAGTTTTAGGATAATATCCTATCACAACCGTCACATCACATTATGCCAGTTTCTTCATGTATGAAACTACGATAGGACTAGCTGTTCGTGTTAAGCAAACACTAAAATACACCAGTGATGTGAAAATCTAGTTCACAGAAAAATTATTTACTTATTAGTACTTTCAAGTACTCCTAGAATTCACATATTTACAGTTTAGCATGAAAAATAAATTGAAAAGAAAAAATTGGAAGAGTTAAAAATTAGTGACAGTGGGGCCAGCCCTGTGGCATAGTAGGCCAAGCCTTTGTGTGTAGCACTGGCCTCCCATGCGGGCCCCTGTTCGTGTCCTGGCTGCTCCTCTTCTGATCCAGTTCTCTGTTACGGCGTGGGAAAGCAGTGAAAAATGGCCCAAGTGCATGGGCCCCTGCAGCTGTGTTGGAGACCCGGAGGAAGCTCCTGGCTTCAGATTGGCCCAGCTCCCGCCATTGCAGCCATTTGGAGAGTGAACCAGCAGATGGAAGACCTTTCTGTCTCTCCTTCTCACTGTCTGTAACACTGCCTCTCAAATAAATAAATAAATAAAATCTTAAGAAAGAATACCACCCTAGACTGTAAGGTGTTTAACAGTACTCTTTTGAGAATGGTATTAACTTTCCACACCTTTATAAAAAGCACAGATAAGTTTTCCTAGTCTCACTAAAGACAATGCCTCTATTAGGCCTCATCTTTATTGCAATCACATCCGTCCCCTTGGGAAGGCAGTCAACATGTCACACTTGCACAGAATACCTGCTGAGACGCAGGCACACAGGGCTTTGGACTTTCAGAGTCTACACTAAAGAGGGGTAAAAAAAAAAGATGGAGAATTTCACAACGGGTCTATTTGCACAGAAGTACGTACAGAGAAGGCCACAGAAAGACTCGTCCAGCCCAGGTGCGGCAGATCCAAGGACAGTTTCTGGAGAATACGACGCCTGAGCCAAGCTGGAAGGAAAAGGAGTCCACCAAGTGAAAGGAGAAAGATAAGGGGCCACGCGCTTGGATCTGAAGGTAAACGCTACATACAGGGGCCGGAGAAAAAGCTGTGGAAGGGCTCCTTCACGCGGAACACAGGCTGCAGCTCCAAGTCTAGTTCCCAGACCCGAATCATTAGGGTCCCTTGGAGACTCCACTCAACAGCTCTGGGGCAGGACCCGGGAGTCCGTCTGTGTGATCCTGGGTGATTCTGATGAATCAGGAAGGGGAATGCTGTTGTCAGTTTTTGGCACCTGGGGGTGTGGGGAAGAGGAGGGCTGTGTAAGCAGGAGTGTCCTTGGGTTCTGTGTTCTGCTTTGGGGAGCTGAGTGCAGAGAAGCCACATCACTTAGTTCTGGCATCTGGCTGTCTCTGAAATAACCTTCACGATCTACGGTCTTATGTCACTTACTTCTCTAGATGGGGCTCTGCTCCCTGGAAGAACAGTCAGTCACACGAAAGGAAGGGTTACCAACGAGCTCCTCGACTGTCCTGCAGAGTGCCTGCCTTCGGCTAAATCTCTCGTGAAAAATACTTTTGAAAGTATCTGGAAGGACTTTGGGTGCTTCAAACACATTTTACACATCACTTCAGGAGAGCCACATCTTTTACATTAGTCTTCATTAGGCTTCCTGGGTCCTCCCTGGTACTTAATGACTCGCCCATAAATCCATTTTGTATGAGTAAATTGGTCTTGACATCACAATTTTTCCCATCGCTTGGCTCAAGTAATTTTAAGTTTTCATCTTTTAAATTGGAAAAGGCAGAAGGAACACTTCTGACAACCTCTGAAGCAAGAGATGAGACTCTTGAACCATGAACACATGCGGAGGAAAACCTCTTCGTTCTGCAGGGTCACCTTGCCTACACGTCTCCCTTCAAAACGCAAGCCACAGTCATGCTCTGCGCCTCCCCCTCCACGGACTCCTGCCCAGGCCTGGTCTCACTGACCTATTTTCCTAAACGGCTACAAAGGCAGAGGCAGTATATTTCCTGTCAGAAGCGACCAAGAGGTCTGGCACAGAATACCTGGGAGCCTCCCTGCGGGGTTTTCTGGGAAAAGAACAGGGGGGAAACAAGACCAAACTGTAGTCAGCCAAAGCTGGGATTCACGTAGAAAGCCCGTGAGGTGGAAAGCAGAACTAAGGCTTGACCCCAAAGCCAGAGCCCTGTCGAAGGTACACACAGCGGCCCTTCCGAATACGCCAAGGTTCTCCTGTCACACCTGGGAATGGCCACAGAGAGAGAGATTCAGTCCAAGAGTAGTAGCATTGCAGGGGAAATGCCCTTTAGTGATGACTACTGTAAACTAGCCTGCAAACACACATCACGGCCAGTGGGACGAAGCACACCCAGCGCGATACTGAGCCGAAGATGTGCAAATCCTTTGTCTGGGCAAAGTTCACCTGGGGAGCTAGGGTGTTCAGAGTTTAGGGTGAAAACAATTTGAGAAGCAAAACATTGCAAGGGAGCCTAACCTTATAACTCAAGTAAACACAGCACTGGACGCATATCCATGTCTGAGGAGGGCATCAGATAGCGAGTAGGAACAGCTCTCTAAATATACTCCCCACCGGAGTGCCTGCCTGGCCTCTGAAGATGTCAATGGAGGCTACTTCCAAGGGCCAAGTCCGTCCACTCACAGCACCTCTGTCCACCCTGTCACAGCCCTCGTCAGGTTGATTTGCGACAGGTTGCCTAAGGCTGTGGGAGAGAAATTCAAGGCCAGTGCCAAGCAATACCCCTATGCCAGCCCCATGCCTGCTAGCCCCAATTACGGGTACAGTGACCAGTACATTATCATGCATGTATTTAAATAGCTAGTAACCTAGTGGTAAGGCTATTACTGCCCACCAAATAAGGGGGAAATGGAAAAGAGAAAACAGGAAGGGTTGTGGGCTGTCAAGAACAAGGGGCGTCTGAATCTGCAGGAAAGTCTTCAAAATGCAGATTCCTGAAGCACACTCAGGCCAAGAGGCACTGCAATCTCCACTTTAGGAAGTCCCCCAGGTAACTCCTCTAGGCAAGTGGTCTTGCCCCCTCCCTCAGGAAGTCCCCCAGGTAACTCCTCTAGGCAAGTGGTCTTGCCCCCTCCCTCGGGGAACTTGGGAAATCTCTGGATTGTCTACCTGACAGAGGGTAGTGCTGGTGCCTGGGGGACACTGACCACCAGTCTCGCTACACATTCTGCCACACACAGCGCAGCACCCTCAGCGGAGGATTAGCTAGTCCCAAATGTTGACTACACTGAGAGATCCTGCAATAAGCCCTAAAATTAAAAAAAAACTCTAAAATTAAAAAAAAAAAAATCCACCATTCTCTGGTCTTAAAAACAAGAATTTTAAAGAAATCATCAAGGTATAACAAATGAAAATGAACACAGTTCAGTCTAACCAGATGATGAAGTGTTAGTTATATCTTACTAGGGATATTTTATTCCCAGATACAGGGAATCTGAAAACAACTGTCAAGTTCTGGAAGGGGTGGCCTTTCTATGTAATGAACTTCTAGTCCTGGCCTTGCAAATGGTCACTCTTTCATTTTCCAGTGCTATGGATACCTCAGATGATTAAAACCTCTCAACAAGTCACTCAGCACAATTCTAAAAGGAGCAAATCCAAGCGCCACAGTTCGGTGAGAGTCTGTCTGATGCTGTGTGAAGAGTACTCACTTGGGAGGCAGGAAACCTGAGTTCTAATTCCAGCTCTGCTACCGAATTAGCTGTGACTTGGATAACTCATCATTTCACCTCTCAAGGCCCCGGCTTTCTCATCTGCAAAATAAGGGAATTAAGCCAGATGACCACTGAAATCTCTCTCTGCTCTAACGTTCAGTTAGCCTACGCATTAACTCCAAAATACACACACGCGTGGATGTGCGTGCACACACACACACACACTCATACTCTCACATGCCTCTGCAGATTCCCGCACAAGATTCAAGCAAGCAGAAATGCCCAACACTGCAGTCATAAATGACAACACCTGCAAACAGACGCTCCACCTCGCTGTTTGGCAGGTTGAAAATATATTATGAGCCACCAGACTTTTCATGAAATAAGCACAGTTGTATTAAAATTACGTAAACTACTAGGGCTGTTTTTGAGGACAAGCTGTCCGTGTGTATGAAGACTAAAGAAACACCTTATATGATTACAGAATGTAATGTAGTAATTTCTGCGAATCCAGCTCGAGAAAACACCGCAACACTGTTAGGGAAACTTCTTATCATGGATACTAAAATCAAACAGGAACCGAAAAACAACTTAAGATTTTTCCACAGTAGGGGAATAGCTAAGCAATGTATGGGACTTACACAATGACAGACTGGGCAGCCGAGCTAAGGGAAATACAAAACCAGAAATGACAGATACTTAGATGGAGTTTTTAAACGGAAGAGGAAATCGATACTGTTAATAAAATGTGTACAGTCTTAGCTACAGCACGAACCAGTACACACAACAGCAAGAGACCGTGGCTGGTGGGATTTGGTGAGGACTAGCTTCTCCACTTCCAAGTTGCCTACAACAGTCCCGTCTTACTGATAGGGAGAGGTGGGAGAAAGGCACGCGGGGAGAGCCTTATCAACGCGAGGTGCACCTGCGGTTCTCAGTCGTCCGAAGCAACATACCCACTCGGCTCGCACGTGCACATTCCCGCCCAGAAAACTATGGGAACCGGGTTGGGGCCCCGACTCGACCGCCCAGCTCCTCCCAAGATCTGCCGTAGCCACCCTCGTGGCGTGGTCCTGAGTACCGGGCGGAGCCGGGACCTGCCTGCGGGCTCGGCTTTCCCGCGAAATCCCCGGGCTAGCGTCGGGGTTCCCTGGAAGCTGAGCCGGTGCCGCAGCTCACCACACGCTCCCGGCGCCCACCACCCGGGACCCCGCGGCCACCCCAAGCCCGCTCGAGAGCGCGTGGGCGCGGCATTCCGCCGGCACCGGCTCCGGCGGGCTCCGAGGTCCGTGCTCCCTCCAGGGGTGTCAAGCCGCTCCCGCCGGGCCCTCCTCCCCGGGCCCGGAGCCGCTGCAGTCGCCGCTTCTCCGCGAGACGGCACCCGGGGGCCTCGAACCTGAGGCTGCGCGCGCGGCCCCGACGTATGCCCACGCGGCAGTCCGGCTCACCTCTCGGCCGGGATCCAGAACCCTCACTCCAGGCGGCCCCCAAGCCCGGCCTCCACGGACAATCGCAGCGAAAACCGAAACCGCCGAGGAAGCGGCACTTTCCAGCTTCAGCCAATCAGTGCTTTCCTCGACTACGGGAGCCCGCGGCACCCGAAAAGGTCCAACCTCGCCGGAGCGCGCAGCTCCGAGTCTCCGGGTTTATTTAAGGGCAGAATTGGCGCAACCGGTTAAGGCAGCAAGCGCCCGAGTTCCCCCTTTTAACAGAAAAGTTAATATGGAGACAAAACAAACCTCCAAAAAGCGGCAGGTGATCTTTTGAGCAAGATCTTTCTGCAGAAGTGTAAGAAAGAACTTGAACTCATAGGAAACTGTAATTTAATCACTAAAAAAAATGATGATGCGTTCGTACCCAGAAATATCCTTGAATAATTTATAGAAAATAAGCAGCCTCAAGTCTTTAAATTCACCTTCGAATATTAAGTGTCTGAAGACTACGGCATTGTTAGCAAGAGGATTGTTTCCATGGCAATGTTAATTGATACAAAAAGAATAGCATCACTAGTGTAACTCCAAGTTATAATGGCTTGAGTTGCATTCTGTGATAAACCAGTCCCAATTGGAAATGGTGTTCAGACCTTGTTTACGTTGCTGCTGTGGGAGCTTGGTTTGGTGAATTCTCAATATTCTTGCTATTCACAGAAATGAAGAGGAGAATGAAAACCCATTGATTCCTGTATTCCAAGACTTGATTCCTTTGATTTCCTGCACTCACCCACTCATCAGCTTAAGAGTTCTACTCTAATTCTGTTCGTGATTTGTAACACTAGGAACAAAGTGATAATATCCTTAGAACACATTCTTAAACCTGGATGTTATGGGATGTAAAATGTGTAGGTTTTTTCTAAGACGAATTTCCTCCTCTTGTGACCTCCCTCTCAGCTGAAGGCAGAAGACCCTTTGACTGACTCCATGAGCACAGAATAAGTGGGTGTGATCTGAGGAAGAAGAAAGGCTTCTTTATATCCTTCCAGAAAAGCTCAGTTTGGGTAAAGACCAAAACAGTTACAGATTTCCTGCGCAGGCTCTTTTTGAAGTTCTTGCAATGTAGAAAGTAATGTAAAGTACCATTGAAATCAAATAATGAACTGCAAAGAACACACGTAGTAAGATGGGAAGCTCTAGCCCTAAAAACTTGGTTCACAAAAGACATCAGATTGCACCCCATGCCTCACTGGTTGTTTTAATTACTCAAAAAATAAGTTTGCCATTCATAGCTGCTTTCTTTGACCACAGAGCCCTGAGGAAGCCATGAAGACTGATGTGGTGGGCAGGGCGTGGTGAGCATGTTTAAGGGCCTGGTTCATCCGCACAGCTGCTGCTGCTCTCCCAAGGGAGACAGCTCGGTCAGGCCCCAGCTAGACAAATGGGTTGGGTACCATGGATTAGCCATGAGCCAACAAGCTTATCATAAGTGTGGCTGTTCCCAGGGTCCTCTTGGCAACTTAGTATTGGTGTTTACGAACTTGAAGGCATCTTTCCATATTTCACAGTTTTTTTTCCAGTATCTCTCACCATACAAAGAAAACATGTATGAGACTTTTTCTGAACACTGTCCATCAAGAACTAGTCTTCAAAGCTCTAAACATGAACATGAGCTTATTCAGGAGGCATCCTATCAATAATTTCATAGTTTAGTTGTAAAATTGATGCCCCCTGCTGACACAATCTTAGCATCCAAGTTCATCATTTACAGTAGAGTTTGCTCTTGGTGCTGTGCATTCTATTGTTTTTGATAAATACCGAGTGACATTGGTCCACATTTATAGTATCATACAGATTAATTTCACTGCCTTAAAAGTCCTCTGTGGTCTACCTATGCATATCTCCCAGCCCCATCCCTGGCAACCACTGATCTTTTTATTGTCACCATGGTTTTGCCTTTTCCAGAATGTCATAGAGCTGGTATCATAGCACACACAGTTGGTGGTGCACGCCCTGCACACCCCACAGCACAACCTTTTTAGATGGGCTTCTTTCACTTAGTTATATACATTTTCAGAATTCTATGTGTTTTTCATGACTTGATAACACATTTCTTTTAAGCATTAAGTAATATCCATTGTCCAAATATGCCATAGTTTATTTATCCATTGATAAACGCAGGGCATTTTGGTTGCTTCCAAGTTTTGGAAATTTTTAACAAATCAGCCATAAGCATCCTTGTGCAGGTTTTTTGTACATGTAAGTTTTTAGCTCATTTGGGAAAATACCAAGGATAGTAATTTCTGAATCATAATGGGAAGAGTAAGTTAGTTTTGTTTTGTTTTTTTCTTTAAGTTTTATTTTATTTACTGGGAAGGCAGACTGACAAAAAAGTGGGAGAGACAAAGAGAAAAAGACATCCATAGATTCACTCCCCAAAAGGCCTCAACAGTTTGGGCTGAGTCAGGCCAAAGCCAGGAGCCAGGAACTCCAGCCAGGTCTCCCATGTGAGAGACAGGGCCTGAGCACTTGGACCATCCTCCCCTGCTTTCCCAGGCACACTAGCCATTAGCAGGAAGCTGGGTAGGAAGTGGAGTTGCCAGGACTCAAATATGGGACACCTGCAATGCACACAGTTAGCAGTTTAACTCACTGCACCACAATGCCAGTCCCAGCATTGTGATTGTTTGTTTTGTTGTTGTTGTTGTTGTTTTAAGAAGCTGATGAATTGTCTTCCAGTGTGGTGGTACCATTTTGCATTCCCAGCAGCAAAGAGAGAGAGTCCATGTTGTTCTTCCTCCTCACCAGAATTTGCTATTTTCAGTGTTTTGGATTTCACCTATTCTAATGGATGTGCAATGCTGGCTCACTCTTGTTTCATTTGCAATTTTCTAATGACACATGATATGGAGAACCTTTTTGTATGCTTGCTTGCAGTCTGTACATCTTCTCTGGTTTCTGTTCAGGTCATTGGCCCATTTTTTAATCAGATGGTTCTTCTGTCATTGGTGAGTTTCAAGAGTTCTTTTGGATATTTTGGATAATAGTCTTTTTTCTCCCAGTCTGTGGCTTGCTTTCTTATTCTCTTGAAGCTATTATTTTTAAAATAGACAAATGATGGAATAAAAACACTAAAGCGAACTCTTGACATTTCTTGTTCCCTGCTTCTGGAGTTCTTTGTACCTATGCCTTTAAATAACCATGCCCTCAATATTTCATGATCACAAGAGAAGGTTATCATCTCTAGCTTATTTTGAGAAACACCCAATAGCCCTATGAACATGTGGGAGTTTGTGCTGTCATGATGATGTTGATAAACATAAACATGGAACTGGATTATCTAACACCCTTTAACACATCTATGTAACACCAGCTTTAAGCTCCTAAGAACACTGGCTGGTTGTTCAAGCAATGTCACATCTGGGATGAAGTACTGGCATGGATCTGAACCTTGCTTAGGCCTTCAGTCTGTACCTAAACTATGATATCCTAGTTTGGGGGTACTTAGAGCCAATATTATCTATCTGCTTTCATCATGGGACATGAAATGATCTGTTAAAGAAGATGAGAAGTAATATAAACTTATTCACTGATGAGAAAAATTTGTAGGAAAGATAGTATGTTTTTAATTTGTATACAAAGAAGGCATATACTCTGCATCATGGGCACTTGTTTTCAGATCTAACACATGAGATGTTTAAATAAATGTTAGGACTTCATTTGCCATCATTTTGCTATGACAGGTTTCAGATGAGATGGGCTCAGAGTCTGAACACCAGTGAGAAGAGCCTCCCAAATACTGTGATGTTTTATGCTTCACCGTGAACTCCAGAAAACCTCTCTCAGCTGTAAAATTCAGTGAAATCGGTGTGAAGCTGCCCTTGTATTTTAATCAAGATGAACTTGAAAGGTGAACATTATAAGTGGGAGAAATTATTTATAATTTGGTAATAAAAGTTTATGTCTAACACTCCAAATTTCATACATCTGCTATGTGCTGGCCCTGAGATATAAAACAATTGAAGTTGCCTTTACATTTGGCCTCATATGAAAGGTCATAAATTAGAATGATGGTGTTCGTCCTCCTTCCTAGCTCACAAAATTTCCATATTAACATCTTCACCTCAAACATAAATGGTTACCCAGCTACAAAGAAAAGAGTTGCATTGGCCTTTATGAATTACAGTTTATGTAGGAAATCTGTAACACATAAGGCTGCTATTCAGCTGGTGGTAGAACGCATCCACTTCAATGAAGCTAATTCTACCACAGTGAAACTAATTAAAACTGTATGGCCAATTTAAAAAAAAAGTGCACTATATGAGAATTTAGAATATTTTAGATATCAGTAAATGGTTACTAGGTGTGTGATGGTTTTAGCTCTTAAAAATGTATTTTTGCATTTTCAAGGGATTTTTTTTTGCTAAAATACCTACTATCAAGTTTATGTAAAATGAACTTGTTCTCAGTTTTCAAAGTGTTTCTTTCTAATGTGGTTTTAACTGATAATGTGAAAATTTTTATTTTTTCAACTATAAAAAGACAGCTCATTTTATTATGACACATAATAAATAAATTCATTTGAAAATATTGATGATTTGGACAAGTGCTTTATGTTTAGACTTTCAAAAAATGTTTCTAGAAAACACCAGATGTCTTTGATTTTCCAGGGTAGGTTATCAAACCCACATGCTGGTCTGGTGTAGGTTTCTTTCACCAGCACACTGGTGTAGTTAACATACAGCATATTATAAACTAGCAGGGTCACATTCGAGAACAACTTTGGCATCTCAGGCCTTCATCCAGGGAGGAATGCAAAAATTTAAGAGCCAATGCTAATGCTCAATAACTTTTAGCACTAGAATCTATTTTTCCCAGTTCTGGATTAGCGAACAGAATCTAGATACAAATGATCAGTTTGGTGGTGTGGCTTAGTCCCTTCAGGCTGCTATAACAAAAAGACCTTAGACTTGGTACTTGATAAACGACAGACATGTGTTGCTCACAGCTGTGGGGGCTGGGACGTCTGAGATCAAATCTGCTGTCCGCTGAGGACTTGTTCTGTGCTTCGTGGATGATGTCGTCCAGCGGCAGCCCCATAGGGCGGAGGGAAGCAAGGCTGGCTCCAGCCTCGTACATAAGGGCACACATCCTGTTCACGAGTGCGGAGCTCTCACGGC